ACCATCCCTTTCAAGGTGTTACAACGTTTTTGGGACACCCTGTATATTCGAATACGACTTTCTTCGCGACGAGCAGTCGGTAATAAAGAATCGTGGTGACCCGATCGTCGCGTCCTACGTAGACTCGGTCGAAAGAAAATTTGTTCTGATAAGTCTGTATTCGAATACGAATCCTTTGGAATGAGGCCGACTCTGGCGGCGCCCCGGGCAGCAGCAGCGACAAGCTCGTTGCAAAAGGTATTTATGGCTTGATTGGTCGTGTAAGAGGCGCAAAATATTCACTTTTATTTTCTGGGGTTTTTTTTCTTCTTTTTTTTTTTCGAAGACAAATCAGGATTCCCTTGATGGGGGTATTCAGCGTGGCCAGATTCGAAAACTGCGCTTAGCAAAGCAATACTCGAGGAATGCGAGGAGCCTCGCATATCCGCTTGCTGCATCGAGTTCGATGATCGCGACGGTGTCCGGCGACTTCGCCCCTGGTGAACGGTCTTCCGTGATGTACCGCGGAAGCCGAGCACTGGAACGAAGTCGCGCCGAAACTTCCTGCGATCAACGGGTGCATGTGGTGTTGCGTGACATTGCAGGCATTGTTCGAGGCGGTGACGTCCGTGGACCGTGGAATTAATCGCGTCCTGAGACGCGTGGGACTATGGTTTCGAGATTGATGTAAGTCGATCGAAAGTAGTCGAGCCTTGCGGGACGTTTCAACCCTTTGACTGCTGGAATTCTGTGGGGCCTCTGTGATGCCAATGCGTCACTTTCAACTCGCGCATGCGTGTCTAACAAAATCTGAACAATTCTATTCGATTCTTTCCTATTTCTATCGTTCTTTGGTGCGACTAGGGCGCCAGTCTTGCGTTCCTACTAGATACTTCACTGACGCTAGAGACAACGCGCATGCGCGAGTAGAGGGCCTTGTCGCAGGGTCGCGATCGTAGCTTAAGCGCCCCGTGCAAATGGATGAAATTTCCAAAATCCATCGAATCAATTTACAAAAAATATATCCTCATACAGGATGACAAGACGAAACTTTTTTATATTTACGATGTATTCATTCGACGTTTAATGTCGACAATAAAAATTAGAAACTTCAATGTTACATTCTAAAACATAAGTCGCCGTAACTGGGACTAATTTCGGCGAAACTCTTTCAAATTTTGTGCGAGAAATGTGGATTGGCAGGCGTCAGAGGGTCCCTGAAAGAATTCCGATGACATTAAGTTAGAACAATTTATATTTAAAAATGTACCTAATTGAACTTTGGGGGAAAAGGCCTCTAAGTTTCCAATTTTTATTTCCGAAACTAAACGTCGCACGAATAAACTCTATTTACAAAAAAGTTTCGTCTTACTGTTCTTTATAAGGTGATATTTTTTTCAAGTTGGACGAACGAGTAATTTTCATTTTCATCATAGTAAATGTAATCGAATTTCAGGAAAACGGTCTCCTAACTTTTCAATTTTTATTTCCGAAACTAAGCGTCGTGCGAATAAACTCTAATTACAAAAAAGTTTCGTCTTGCCATTCTCTATAAGGTGATATTTTTTCAAAATCAATTTGATTCCGTTTTCGCAGTCGAAAGGTTAAGGGAATAGCGAGAGAACAGCGATCTACATTTCTCTCTCGGTCTGTGACGTCACTCATGGCTCAACGGCGTCGCTACTTCGCTCGGAACCAGGCGCAAGCCTCTCAGGAATAAAGAATGCAACAAAATAGAACGCCAAGGGATCACGATAGATATCCCTGATAAGACGAACGTAACGATCGACGATCGATAAGTATTGCAGGCGCCATTGATGTCGCTGCCTCGAATTCTGTGTTTATCTATTTGCCTTGCTGTGCAGGCCAACGAAGCCCCGCTAGTTTTTTCTAGTAATTTCGTGTGGCCGCTGCTTTCTGTCTCTTTATGCATACACATAATTATATATCTACATGACTGTCCCCTAATCTGTTCGCAGAGGTTGACCATCTTATCTCTCGAATATAATGTACAGTGAGAACGAAGCTTTTGTCGTACCATCGACGTTCCGCCATCTTGTTCGAAAATTGAGACGTACGCGTCGAACGTTTGTCAATGTTTAGAGCTTTTTTATCGGAATTCTTTTGCGTATTTAATTATAGTAAATTCAAGTATAATAATTCCTCATAATAATAATTTCTCATTGAAGAATTTTCCACGATGTCAGAAACAGCCCTGTATAAAAGAATCGGGATCTTGAAAGAATGGGCCTCGTTCCCCATAATTACGGTACTGCGCGTCAGCCAGTGGTGGCCAGACGCGAGCACAAAACTGGCGCCTTAGTCGCCCCAATGAACTAGGATCGTTCTACCGCTGATCCACGATAAACGTGAGACCGTTTCTCGAGTTAGCTCTCTTTGTTACAAAGTTACGAAACGTATACAGGGTGTCCCAAAAATGTTGGAGATCTCTGAAAAGGGTGGTTCGGGAGGTGATTTGAAACAACTTTTTCCTTAACGAAAGTGTTGTACGACGCTTCGTTAAGGAGATATTAACGAAAAACATTGACCAATCAGAGCGCGCGTATGCCGGTGGAGCGACGGGCTACGCGCTAGGCGGCCGCGCTCATAGGCTACCGCGAGCGGTCCATCGACATACTCGCGCGCTGATTGGTCGGGAAGCGCTAGCACCTAGCGCGTAGCCTTCGCTACCGCGAGCGTTCCACCGGCATACTCGCGCTCTGATTGGTCGCCGAGCGCGGCCTCCTCGCGCTCCGATTGGTCAGTGTTTTCCGTTAATATCTCCCCAACGAAGCCTCGTACAACATTTTCGCTAAGGAAAAAGTTGTTTCAAATCACCTCCCGAACCACCTCTTTCAATGTGTCACAACATTTTTGGGACACCCTGTATAGAAACATAGGTACGTTACGGAATTATACCGAAGCAAACGTATAGAGGAACGACGATGGGAACGTGTGCAAATTAAATTTTACAATTTTTTCTCGAGACTGTCATCTGAACTCACCGGGGCCCTCGATGGCGTTAAGACGGCCCTGCAAGGTACCCCCCTGAAAGGGATAGATGGTCAACCTCGAGTGTCCCTTAAATGGATCTCTTAACCGGTGTATATTCCCCGGCGTGTGGTTGGAAAGTTTTCGATATCCCGGCATACCACTGACAGAAGGATTTCCGTTTGCAGATCCGCGTAGTGAACGCATTTCGGCAGGGCCTAGACGCGCGCTACACGAGCGAGCACAGCAGCACTACCTTGGCGGAGGTACTGAGAAAGCAGTCGTCCTTAAACAAGCGACTCTCGCAGACGAGCAGCATCGAATACGCCGACAACAACCCAGACGAGCTGACCATACCCGAGATAGACGTCGAGAGGCTCTCGAGTCACAGTCACACCGAGACCGCCGTTTAGAATGGGGACGTGGACGGACGAAACGTGATTCGTCCCGACGGTCGACGACGGTCATCGCTGTGTGTTACTTCTCGATCACCTACGACGATGCATACACGATTCTCCGCGTCCTCGTTCTCCCGTGGCCAGGCGCGTACGAGAACCGCGTTTACGACCCCTCTCGAGGAGACGTGCTTTTCGAATCCACTGAACGAGAGAACGGTGGGGGAGAGGGGGGGAAATAATTACTGTTTCCCGACCTAGTCGAAGCGAACGATCGTGCACGCGAGTTTTAGGTCCTCGTCATAATCGACGGCGCCACGAGATAATATAACGAATTCGTTTCGGGTCGTGCTCGTGTTTAATCGAGGAGAGACGACGGACCCGCGGCAAAGAACGCAAGACACGAGAAATTAATTATTAAAATAATAATAATAATGACGATGACCTTCTGCCCACGAGACATCGTCGCGGACCTCAGTCGATCCGTGCGAAACACCAATTATAAAATACCAAAGTAACGCACCACTGCCTTCCCTCTATTTAGTTGTTACTTACGTTTCTTCTTATTCGACCCTTGTTTCCTCCCCCCTACCCCCTTTTCACTCACTCTCTCTCTCTCTCTCTCTCTCTCTCTCTCTCTCTCTCTCTCTCTCTCTTTGTCTGTCTGTGTCTGTCTCTACCCCCCCTATCTCCCCTCTTATTTCGCCATCGACCATCCTTTCTTTACCCTCATCCCCTCCTGTGTGTGGTTCCTTTCATTTCAAAGTCGCACCGCGTAGAACGTCGGGTCGAGGAGGAGAAAGCAAGAGCGTAAACGGGGAAACGGACGGAAGTCGCCGAAGACCGGAATAATCGAATACGCGCGTTCAGACGTTTCGCGGTGCTGTTTGTTTCTTGCCGGTTTCTCGCTTCTTCTCCTAGTTTCTCTGCCACCCCGTCTCTATCCATTCGCCCCATTGTACGTCGCTGCCACCGGTCATCCTGATTTACTGCCATATTCATTAGTTTCGGGTCATCGCGTACGTCATCTACGAACCATCGTCCTCTCCTCTCAGCTTCTTCTTTCTCGTTGACAGAGCTAGGCAAAATTAACGAACCGCGAAATTTCGTCAAAGGAACGGATCGAGAGGTGGCGCGCGAGTCACCATTGGTCCCGTCTCACGAGAGACGAGGAGTGGGGGAGTGCTCTCTCTCTCTCTCTCTGTCTGTTTCTTGGCTCCGCTTGCGGAAGCAATAGCTGGCGCGCGAGTCGCCATTGGTCCCGTCTCACG